CTTTTAACAATGAAAAATCTAGCATGTTAATAAAAATTCTTTGTGTAAATCAAAAAACCGATGGACAAAAACTCATGGTATTTTCCTAATAGAGAATTCCTCAATCCATTTAGTTGACCCGAAATGTTATAATCCGTATCATTATAGTTTATCTTCCGATGCGTTCGCACTCGATAGAAAATAAAAAATCCAATGTGAACAGCTTTATAGTGTGTAAATGCGTATAAACTAATTAAAAAATGCGCTGTACGATGATTGATTGATTAATTATATTCGCATTTCGGTTTCTTCTTTCGCTGATTAGTGTCAGTCTACATTACTAAGATTCTAACGCGACTCAACCGCGACTTAATCGAGGTACATCTTTTTTCATATATAATTGCTTTGCATTCACATAATGGATATATAGGAAAAAAATACTCAACTTACATCGCATCTATGTTATAAGGAAAATTGCATGCGTATCTCAAATAAAATAACGATCGATATTATTAATTATCGGAAAATCATGATTGACATTACATTACTGTCCATTATTGTATCAAATTAACCGAATTTAATATTTTTGAGTGCTCAATTTCTACTTAAGGTTAAATAAAGCAGATTTTTAAAAAAAATTTTCAAAATTTCAATAATGGTTTTCAGCTTTCTTGTGATGAACGAATTGAGTAATTAAGCATGTTCTCTTGACAATTGGGGAGAAGATTCGAGTTGTTTTGTTGCGAGTTGTTGGTGAGGCATTTTGAAGAATTAGGTGCGATAGTTACACATACGGGGGTAAGTTTTCTTACTGAGTTATGTCGAGTCATTATGTATCCGAAGTTACGCTGTCACATTGACGTAAATTATCTGAGAATCGAAAGCGCATCGGGCCACTGTTTCGGCAGTGAACGTTCTTCTCAGTTGTCAGTGATCCCGTCCGTCGCGTTGCCCGGGGATTTAATGATGAATAAGATACATGTTGGCGCCAACCACGTATGACGTTGAAACGTATACTCATTAAATCATTTTTTAGAGCGAGTGGTGACGGGGGTCGAGATATTATTGTAGAAGTTTGCGAGTACAGATTCGTGGTTCAGTGTAAAGCATGGTTTATAAATTGCATAGGTATGATTACTTATTAATTTTTTATTATTTTAGGTCGAAAAGAAATTGATGAGTTCAAGACAATAGTCCGGGAAGGGAATTTTGATTTTTGGAATTTGTGTTGGGGTCTTAGAAGAAAAGATTGCAATGGGGGCATATAAATCGGCTGAGAAGTCAGGAAGCTATATTATTGTCACTGTGTATACTAGAATGTCTCGAGATATTAAGATGTTGATTGCTGATCGATTAACAGAAAAAATCCGCACATTAGAAAATAGAAATAGATCATTTATAATTAATCATAATATAATGTTTTATTCGTTCTCTATAACGTTTATAATTTTACAATTGTGTATTTTTATTTTTAGAAAATGATGACGCTATCACGTTCTTGACTCTTTTTTCTTTAAGATTTTTTTCACTAAGCTGTATTGATTTTATTGCTGGGTACACAAACACGATTATATACGCTAAAGGGTCATGCATCAACAGCCAAGGCACATAAAATACAGTATACATCATTTTTTAGCCCACACTAATTTCATGATCGCCACATATTGTAACCCTATTCTTTAATAACTTCACAATCACGCCCAACACTTGCTTTATATCTTTTTGGATAGTGTCTTAATATGCGTAGATTGAACGGTCCAATTTTGTATAAGTTTTGCCGGTATTTAAATCATAATAATAACCTTCATCATCATCGTCAGAAAATCCACAGAACCCATCATCATCTTTCTCTTCGTCGTTATCATCTTCATTATTTTTATTATCCCTAGTTGCATTAGCATCCTCACTCCATAAGTCATCTTCACTGTTATCGAAGTGATCTTCAAAATCGTATTCATAGTCCGGAACCTTGATCATTACTCACCTCCGGTAAAGATTTAGATGTAATAGCATCCTCATTGCACAAGACTTTTCCACTTATTTTATCAACACTAGAGTAATTGCTGGAGGTAGTCACTTCGTGGCTGGAGATTCGAGTCGTATTATTAGGTGAGGCTTCAATATCTGAGGCACTTATCTCTGTTGATTTCGACTCCTGATCGTGAACAGTGTTCACGGCTTTTAATTCTGTCATACCAACTTGTGCCGAAGTTACTTGATCTATAATACACTGAATTTCAATATTAGTAAGTCTTGAAATAGTATCGGCACTATAAGTAACTTGTTTAACCATATGCCATCCTATTCCATTGACTTTTTCCTGGGTCATAGTATTGTATTTCCATCCGAATAACTTAAGAATTTTTCTTGCTTTACTTGTTATTTTGCGTAAATACTCATCAGAAATGCCAGTGAGGTATGGCTTCATTTCATTATAAATCTGGATTCTTGCAGTTTTATCCTTAAGATTTTTATTTTCGGATATAAGCTTTATAAATCTATCTTCATATTTTTCAGAATAGTGACCCCAAGATAAAATTTCTTCCTGCTTAGCTTTGATAGATTTTTTCTCGCTTACTAGCCTGATATAACAAATGAGCAAGCTCAGCAGGTGCAGAATTTGAAGGCTCACAATTAATAATTTCAATATTTTCTCCTATTGAGTTTGCCGAAAATCCTTGTAAAAAACCTTGTACAACCTCACTTGGTACGTATGCACTAGCTTCAGATGAATTCCCGATATATTTTGTACAGATTCTTTTGATGAAGTCTTTTCTTGATCGTGAACGGTGTTCACGGTTTTCATATCACATGATAATGGAGGTGTCATCAACTCTTCTAATTCTCCTGAAGAAGTGTTTTGTTTTCCAGAAGACACTTCCCGATATTGATGCTTCTTTTCCCTAATTTTCTCCATTATTTCGTTACTAACCTGTTCCTTATATACTGTTTCTACAAAATCTAGAGTCTCGGTTGAATCATCATCAGTAACGTCTTGCGGTAAATAGGTTGCAGGAGGTTCAGGCTCTGTTGAAGATTGTACTAGTTCAGGCATGGGATCGGGAGTAGTACTAGAATTTGAAGTATTATCAGGTATATTAGATGCCGGAGTATCATTTATTTTACATTTGTTAACCGTAGTATTATTTCGTTCATACATTGTTCCAGGGCTTTGTCGTTGTCATCGATTTCCTCGAAAACTATATAATAGAAAAAACATTAGCATACACCTATGTTCGATCGTGACATTTTGCCAAGAATTTTCAGCGAACTATTTTGATGAAAAGTTCGCCCAAATTATGCCAAGAAAAAAAATAAAAAATTAAGTATTGCATACCTGGACTGAATTGTTTGATGCTTGTTATATCCTCCCCATTAACCTTATATTTTCGGAGCACGTCTTTTAACTCATCCAGAGCTTTACATGATGAGAAGCTTCGTAGTTTTTGATATAGACTTTCAATAAATTTTGCGAGTGCCATCGCTGGTCCCAATGCCAAACCAATACTACGGAATCTATCTTCTTCATATCCAGAAATGCGGACCAGTGATCTCTTCTTTTCGTAAAATCTTGAAATGTGACTCCTTAAGCTTCAAATCTTTCTTCCACAGATATTCGATTAGTTCCTCTGTATCTAGATCCTTCACAACGTCTGCCATTGTGCGAGTTGACATTTCTTCCGTCAAAGTAGAGGATGTAGAAATAGGTGAGGAAGGTGAAGAAGCGTATGAAGACATAGTGGTATTTTTATATAGATGGTAGATATGATCAAAAAAATCCTGTTTATGTACAGTGTGTTGCAAAAAGAATGATAATTATAAAATTACTTATTGCGACACAAGTGACACATCAAATTAAGTAAAAATTTATTTATAGTAAGACATATATGATTTATATAAAAAAAATTTAATATGAAATTCTTTCTCCGTTTTTTTCTATTACTAATTCGCATCGTCACCTCATTGATCGTATTAATTCTTTTATAGTAGATTCTGAAATATTTGCCCATTCTTCATCCATAAACTGCATTAATTCATTGTGATTTTTTGACATTCGCCTCTCTACGTTCCCCTTAACTATCAATTATAAATTTTCAATCGGATTTAGATCGGGGTTATTTGATGGCCACAACATAAGATCCGGAATATTTTTAGCAAGGAAAGCCTTAGTCAAATGACTGGTGTGCTTGGGGTCATTGTCTTGTTGAAATTTTCAGTTACTTTCAAGTATCCTTGTAATTTTGGGAATATGGTTGCAAAGAATATCTATGTAAAATTTAGAATCCATAATTTCTATAAAGCAAAATAAACTAGTCTTACTACTTGTGCAAAAGCTATCCCATGCAAAAACCTTTGTTCAGTCCTTAGGTATGAATTTTACTGATCGTGTATCCTTATATTATCTTTTTATTGTGTTTTGAAATAATTGAAAAACCATCTCATCTATAAAAATAATCTTTTTCCAATTGTCTTCTAGGTGTTCTCGGGCCTATTTGATGTGTTTTTGCATTTGATTGTTCATTAGCATTGGCACCTCCAAAGAAAGAATGTTTTGATATCCGATTCTATATAAATTCCTTTGAATGGTAGTTTGGGAAACACTAATATCCTTTTTCTTCAGTTTTAATGCCAGTGTTTTTAAAGAAAGTGAAGAATTCTACTAAAGATATTGTTCCAATATTTTTGAAATGCTGCTGACAATCTTTCTTGGTCACCTATTATCTTTTTTATATGTAATTTCATCCTGGATTTTTAATTTTTTAAGGTTTTTATAGACAGTTACAAGTGATATATTGGTCTAGTGGTAAATCTTGCTAGCCTTGTATATCTTCTGCCCTCACAAATGTAATATGGTATTGCACTGGATTTCTTGCCTAGAAGGTAATATTATATTAGCAGGTTTTTCTAAAAGTAACAATGAAATGTGATTGTAAGACAAAAGAAACTTGATCGTCTACCTTCAGTCCATATTCTAATAAATTCTTGTTATACTTAGTTTAAAATTAGTAAAGTTAGAGATAATCTTGTGATATGTAAATCTTTATCATTCTTTTTGCAATATACTGTATCTCGCTAGGTAATGTTATACAAGTGAAAAATGAAAAATTTTATCGAATTTGTTTTTGGGTGATTAGTAGTTTATATACTATGATGAAAGTTACACAAACTGATTAGAAGATATAAGACCATTGAATTATACCTAACATGTCATTGTTTTATTTGATGTAGAAAAATGTTTGAGATGGTGATTTTGTTATGCGCTATTCTATATTTGTTATATTTTCTCGATATTAGTATATTTGGTAGTACGATCATTACTGTTATTATATTTTTTTAATCATTTAAGAAAATTGCCTATAGTTGAATTTTATATTTATATACTATAAATAAATTTATAATTATATAAAAAAATATAAGTATAAATATAAATATGAGTATAAAATATAAATATGAATATGAATATACATATATATATAGGAATAGTGATTCTTTTTTTTTTTTTTTTTTTTTGCCTCTAATCAGACTGCAAAAGTTGCATTTATTCATCCAATTTTGGAAAACAGTAG